AACTGGAAGCTGCTCTGTTGTGCATCGATGCCCACAGACACTGGACCAACTTTGTAGAGTGCAACAGCCAGCGCGCGCTCATTACCCACTGGGATCTCCTTGTAGCCTTTGCACTGGGCTGCCATGCCTGATGCATTGTAGCGGCAGGTCTGATCCTGCAGGCAAGACAAAGGAGGAGAAAATGTTAAAACCATTTGTTGCTGATATTTAAAGTGTCAATTCTTGATATTTAAGATGCTACTTTTCATGTTCTTACCTCACAGTGCAATCATATTTAGGTAGAATATCGAATTTTAATCCAATGGTTATTACTAATTACTTTTACTAATTAACCGACAATAAAAGAAAGTTAATAATTGCTGTATAAAATCAATAGTCAAAATACTTGCTATGCAAGGTTTTAGTACCTTGTGACTCTTCTGTCACATGTTATATCACATGATGTGTTTGGTGCAATTCCAACTAGCCAAACAATAGAGAGACGGCAGAATTTTTTCATTAATGAGCAGATGTACTTCCTTCTCATAATACCAAATGACTAAAGAGGAAACTATGCTCACTCTGTGGGGGAGTTTCCTCTTCATCATTTCTGCTGAATCACCTCCCTCTGGTAAGATGTTTGCAGCTACTTTACTGTCAAAATGAAATATTTTCTTCCTCGTTGCTTGTTGTTGGTGAAGCGTGTGAAGGGGACAAACGTGACTCCCTCACAGCCAAGTGAGAACCTCTTCACCATTTTAGTTTCAATATGCATCTGCAGCTAACAGCTGATTACTGGGTATTATTTATAACAACTAGGTTAAAAGACTTTTTGTGCAAAGCTTCTTTGTAAGAGTGCCTTACCAGAACAACTTCTAGCTCATCTTAAGTACTGGAAGAGGTGGGGCAATCACTCATTTAAAAAACAACAAACACCAACTAAATTATACTCGTTTATTACTTTAAAAAAAAACCGCTTGACTGCTTTGGACCATCTTGCCTTTATGTGTTCAAGCACCCAGTGATATTAAAATATAAGTGCTTAGTTTATAGAGAATGTGGCACTCAGTACATGAAATGAATTGAAAGGCTCTGATTAATAAGCTACTTCAAGTTTAGTTGTGTGTTTGGCAGAGTGGGTTGCTCACCTGTCCAACATATGGGTAGGCCGCTTCAGAGTCAATACCTCCATTTTCATTCACATACTGGAAGGCATTGGTCATGTAGCCTCCTCCACAGCCGT